GAATACAATGGCTTGTATGATTCTGAATTTTGTGCTGAGTTGTATATCATTTGAGGATCTTTTCAGGACTATCCGATGTGCTGGCACTGCCATGTTTTTGTGGGCATTCCATAGCCTTTCATGATCTATGCAGTCAAAATATTTGAAGGGAAGCCATATTGGGGCTGGAGCAAGCTTGTTTTCTGCTGCTCTAGAAACTATGGAGCAATGCATGACAACTACAGGAAAAGAGATTCCGCCTCAACATTAGGAAGAACTTTGTGATGGTAAGAGTTCTATAACAGTGGAACACACTCCTTCCTTAGAGATTGTGGTGGAGTCTCCTTCTTTGGAGATCTTTAAGCAGAGGCTGGATGGCCATCTCTTGGGAGTGCTTGGACGGTGTCTTCCTGCATGGCAGAAGGGGGTGGACTGGATGGCCCTTGGGGTCTCTTCTGACTCTATGATTCTAAACAAGCCTTTGTCCTGTTCAAGCACCTGTTTTCCAGCCTTGTGTGATAAAGTTCCTAAAAATCTCTGAGCTAAGCAGCCAAAATGATGCTCGCAAGCCCTCTACTGCTATTCCTTGAGTGAGCCATGGGCTCTGACCTTTGCAAAATGGCTGATTCATGACTGGACTCATGGCTGGACGTACCCAAGCTTTCGACTACACTGTCTTCTGTTTTTAACCTACACTTTCTTCTAGTCTTCCTGGCATGGGCTGTGATTCATACCACTGTTTCAGGGCTCAATTCTGGGACGCTGAGCATGCCCAGTGAACCAGCCCTGTGACTGTTTGGCCCTCGCATCTCAGGATGCCTTCACAAATATTCCCAAAGGAGTCGGTGACCTGGCTTGAATCACAGTTTGGAAAAGAGGGGGATACTATTTGGGGAAATAGAGCCTACAGGCTGAGTTTCCCGCATCCGAAATGGTTGCGACCAGAGGTGTTTGGGATTTGGGATGCATGGCGTGGAAAGAGAGGAGATGGGAGCATGAGCTTTTATAGACTTAAGCCTGCTTCCTCAGATGCGTGGCATGGAGGGTACATGGACAGACTTCCTCAGCTGCAGCGAGTGGAAGTCTGTCCTTAAGCTCCACTCCATGCATCTGAGGAAGTAGAGTCAAGTCTAGGGGCTCCTTCCCACTTACACTGAAACCGGTTTGCGATTCGTCTTCGCTCCGTGTCGGTGAATCAGTTCCAAAAGGTCCATCATTCCCACTATGAAAGCAGATCTTTTCATGATTCCCTTGTAATCACTTCTTTTTTGGCACAATTGTCGTCCTCACTAGTTTGCGCCGCTTCAAAATGCATGTCAATCATCTCCGCGTCATCGGTGACGCAAGCGGCAACAAAGTGAGGATGGGGCCATTCCAGGCGCCAAGCAGGGCGACTTTAGCAACTGAGCTTTCCTCAAGCAAATCATTTCTCCTTTGAGCAGC